ACAGGGGATACAGAAAAAGAGATTGACGGCTCTGTGTCCTCAATCTCTTTTTCTATTTTAAAAGGGAAATATCAGGGGTATATTTAGGCCCCTGCTATCTCCCCGAAGCTCCCTACAGTAAAGTAAAATTATAAAAAATATTCAATAAAAAGAAATAAAAAAATAACGTTTATAAAAGAAAAAATATTTTTTTTAAATTGGAAAAGGTTAGAAAAAAGGCAGCTTTAATGGGGCGGCTCTGATCACACCTGTCTGCTCTCCCTTTCTCTCCTCCTGGCCGCTCTGAAGCTGCAGAGCCGCTGCGGCCAATCACATTTTGATCTGTGCCATCCTCTTCTCTCTGGGCCCCCCCGAACTGGCGGAACACCAGGTCCCGGTCACAAGTGCGACCGCTGCGACCCTGGTAGTTCCGCCAGTGCATATATGCAACAACACCTGAGGGTTTAATAACACTTTAAATGGCAGAACTACCAGGGTCGCAGCGATCGCACTTGCTACCGGGACCAGGTGTTCCACCAGTTCGGAGGGGGGCGAGAGAGAAGGGGAGGCCCGCCGCTCGCAGCTACTCATGCTGCCTGGTGAAGAATAGAAGATGTAGTGCTGCGGGGGTGTGGCCTGTCAGGGGGTGAGGCCTGTCAGGGAACTCCAATTCCGAGCAGGCAATGTGCAGAGTAGTGTCATTGTCTTGCACTGTAATTTTTTTTCCAACCAAAAATAATAAAATCATTTATCATTTACAGCAATGAATTCCTTACTTCTGCCCTCTGTGCGATCCTTACTTCTGCCCTCTGTGCGTTCCTTACTTCTGCCCTCTGTGCGTTCCTTACTTCTGCACTCTGCACGTTCCTTACTTCTGCCCTCTGCGCGTTCCTTACTTCTGCCCTCTGTGCGTTCCTTATTTCTGCCCTCTGTGCGTTCCTTACTTCTGCCCTCTGTGTGTTCCTTACTTCTGCCCTCTGCACGTTCCTTACTTCTGCCCTCTGCGCATTGCTTACATCTTACCCCTTAAAATGCTTTTACCGCTCAATCAGTTTAATGTTATAAGTGATGAATGGCCCTAAAATTATTGCTCTCACTGTGACGCTCGCAGCAATATGTAACATGTGTGGCACAATTTTTTTTTTAACACAACTTTATTGCTATCACATAGGGGGCTAATAAGTCCCCTATGTGATAGCCAATTTACATGACAGCCCCTCTTTATGGAGACATCAGGGGTCTCCAAGACCCCTAATGTCATCTAGGGACCCCCAGAGATCTACTTCATCAGCTTCTGTAGCTGGAGAGTGACACTGAATGCAGGAAGTGATGTAATATACATCACTTCCTGCATTCGGGGACTGAGAGGAGATCAAAGAGAGATTGTGTACTGAACTCCCCTTTGATCTCCTGTCACAGAGCCGTGCCGGTCCCGGCCGCATCGGGCACAGCGGATCTCAGGACCGGCAAGGCAGTGACACCTGCTCCTATACAAGGGCATCTCTAGAGACGCACGATCGCTTGAATGTAGAGCTCCCGGCCGGCTGTGTAATTACAACGGCCGGCCGGGGAGCTACTCGTCGGGCTCCACCGTCCTCTCGTCTGTGGATTTTTCAAGCCCTCATTATGGGTGTAGGTGGGGGCCTTACGTTTTGAGTTTCGCCTAAGGCCTCACAAAGTCTAGAGTTGCCTCTGCCCGTGAGGACTTATAATCTAACAGGGAGGGGCAAGTGATACATGAGGCGGTAGCTGTATGGGGATGATAATAACAACAACAATAATATATTGCTACACCTTTGAGGGATAAACCAATATAAATGAGGCTTAAGAAGTTACCCACAAATAAGGAAAAGGTAAACCTACAGGTAATTTGGTCTGTGTGTAATGGGCTCTATATTGGGGGTGTCTTGATGTAACAAATGACAACTGAATCATAAATAAGGTTTGAATTTATTTAAACATGGGATCTACATCAACTCTAATTCAAAAAAAGGAACATGAACAAGGATAATTCTGCTGGAAACACCATGCTCACCCATTCACACATGCCATGGCCATTTTAAAATCTCTATCTATCTCTATATATTTCTGAAAACTTCACAAGTTTGATTCCCTTGAGGGTAGAGCGACCAATGTTATTAAATTATTTATTATATAGCTTAAAAACTCCTCCTCCTGTCCTGATTAACAAACAGCATGCCTAAATTAGGTGTATATATAATGTACCTAAATTAGAGCAATATCTCGTTCTTGTTACCTAGGCATTGCGCATATTCATCCATTATTACATTGCACTGCACCTTCTGATGCTTCTCCTTCCTATTAAACTTTTGCCATGGTGCAAAAAAAAAAAAGAAAGAAAGATCTAAACAAAATTACTATCGTTGACTCGCAATCAATTAAACGCCATCTGATGCAAAACATACTTTTTATCATGTCAAAACTGCCTGAAAGCCTCTGGAACTTCTAAGCAATCACTGAGAATCCAAATTCATTTCAGGTTGTTTCTGCTGCTTACACTGCAATGAACTGAAAGCTTAGGCAACGGTGAAATCTTGTGGCCGATGGTATAACTGCATTGTAAAGTCGACTCCTTGATGACACCCGGTGTCCAATGTCATCAATGTCATTTTCTACAGCTTGAAAACACGGTTTTAGTTTTAAAATGAATTCCGAGGTCTACGCACGTCGCAAACGTACCAAACTCGGTCCAGAGATAAAAAGGGGCGCGTGAAACGTTATAGTGAGAAAAAGCGGTCCGGACGCACCGTGGCGTGAGCCGAACGCTTAGGTCAGGAGAGCGGCGGCTATATCGCCGCCACGAGAGGTACGGCGACGAAGTTTTGTGGTCCCGACGCTGGCCGGTCGGACAGGGATCGACACACCAGGGCTGTGGTCGCGAAGAACCCACTGGCGCCCGACATCGGCAAAACAACGCCACATACGTGCGGTCGGGGGTGCGTGGCCGAAAGGAGGATATTCTTGAAACATGCACTGGGAAGGCCCCTGGCCGAGGGTAGAAGCTACCGGAGGCCAAGGGCGTCAAGAAACCAGCGGCGAGGCGTTCGGTATACGAGAAGAAAGGGGAGTCAATTGTCGCAGCTCGAAAACAGCGACACCGTGGTCGATCAGTCCAAGTGTTGAGCTTGACTCTAGTCTGCAACTGTGAAGAGACATGAGAGGTGTAGGATAAGTGGGAGGCCCCCGCCTCACTTACCCGGGGGGGTGGGGGGTTGCAAGCCTCGAGAGGCTCTCGCTTCCGGCTCCGAGGACAGTGGCAGATGGGGAGTTTGCTTGAATACAGAACATGAAAGCAGGGCCTCACGATCCTTCTGGTTTTTTGGGTTTTAAGCAGGAGGTGTCAGAAAAGTTACCACAGGGATAACTGGCTTGTGGCGGCCAAGTGTTCATAGCGACGTCGCTTTTTGATCTTTCGATGTCGGCTCTTTCTATCAATGTGAAGCAGAATTCACCAAGCGTTAGATTGTTCACCCACTAATAGGGAATGTGAGCTGGGTTTAAACCAGGGGTGATCGTGATCTACCAGTAGCTCTCAAAGCTGATGCTGGTAGATCACGAAGGGTGTGAATGGTGGCCCCAATATTCCATTTTAGTATATTTATTTAGCTGTGCACACATGATTACCTATTTACCTATTAGCCTGAGTCTACTAAGCCTAGCTCCCTGACACCTTTCTGGTGGTTACTGGTGGTTGAAGTGCTATGTATTACATCAAAGAATATTAGTTACACAGCCTGTTGCACTACACTGTTTGCAAAATACAGCAAGGTGAGCCAGGAAAGAGAGAGGAAAGACAGCCAGGAAAGAGAGAGAGGAGAGACAGCCAGGAAAGAGAACAAGGAGAGACAGCCAGGAGAAAAAACGAGGAATGACAGCTAGGAGAGAGAGCGAAGGAGGTTTTTTTTCCGTTGGTAGATCTCATGTAGCTTGTCATTTGAAAAGTAGATCTTAACACAAAAATTGTGGGCACCCCTGGTTTAGACAGTCGTGAGACAGGTTAGTTTTACCCTACTGATGAGGCGTTGTTGCAATAGTAATCCTGCTCAGTACGAGAGGAACCGCAGGTTCAAAAATTTGGTGTATGTGTTTGGCTGAGGAGCCAATGGGACAAAGCTACCATCTGTGGGATTATGACTGAACGTCTCTAAGTCTGAATCCCCCGTAAAGGCGACGATACCGCAGTGCCGCGGAGGCCAGATTTGCCTGGGATAGCGGGGTCCGTCGCGTAGAGCCGCTCGCCTCGGGACCGTGGTGCGGACGGAAGCAGGCCGCCTCTCTCCCGGAGCGCATCGCATGTTCGTTAGGAACCCGGTGCTAAATCATTTGTAGACTACCTTATTCTGGGTCAGGGTTTTGTACGTAGCAGAGCAGCTACCACGCTGCGATCTTCAGGGGTGCGGAGAGAGAGGCGTGGAGGGAAGGGCGGCGGCTCACGAGACCGAGCACGTTCCGATGGGCCCGGGGCATATGAAGTCCAGCAGGGCGTAGATCGCCAACCGGGCTTAAGTGTCGCCGGCCAGGGGAAAGGTGGAGGAGGGGAGAGCGGCGGAGGGACGGCCGGTCGACTCTAGAGAGGTCCAGCGTGGCGTAGACCTCTGACCGGGCTTAAGTGTCGCCGGCCAGCTAATCCCGCGAGGGGAAAGATTTGAGTGTCACGAGTCAGCTTGACGCGGATGGGGAAATATTTAAGTGTCACCAGTCAGCTTGACGAGTGAGGGCAAGTATTGAAGTGCACCCGGCCAGCTTGACCCGCAAGGGGAAATGTGTCCCGGCCAGTTCGTCACGCAAGGGGAAAGATTCTAGTGGACAAGGGGACATATTTGTGTCCCCGGCCAGCTCGCCTCGCAAGGGGAAATATTTGTGTCACCGGTCGGCTTGACCCGCAATGGGAAATACTTCAGTGTGCCTTCGTCACGCTTGGAGGACCAGTGTCCTCCGGCCAGCTCAGCCCGCTCGGCAGTCAATCAAGTTAGGGACAGGGAGGCTTCTCCCTATCTCCTCCCTTCCTCCTCCTCACACAGCTTGGTTACCGAGCTGGGGCAGGGTCTTCGACTGGATGGGGCGGAGCTTGAACTGGATAGGGTGTGGCTTCGACAGGCTGGGGGATGCCTCACCCAACACACAAGGCACGTCACTGGACTGTGGCTTCGGCAGGCTGGGGGATGCCTCAACCAACACACAAGGCACGGCATGTCACTGTGGCTTCGGCATGTCACTGGACTGTGGCTTCCTCACCCAACAGACAAGGCACGTCCAATACATCAGGGTGAGGGAGAAAAGGGAAGGTCGGGGGGGGTACACATAAACAAGGGGTAGAGGTAGGCACAAAGTAAATGTAAAAGAAAAAGTAATGGTAGCAACATAGGATTGTAGATCTGACCCCGAGGTGAAGGGTCGAGAAGGTCCAGGACCTACCTCTGCTCCAAGGAGCGGGTACACAGAATGCGGGGAACGTGGCAGGAACCGTCATCCACATTGAGGGTGACACCAAACAAATTATATAAGTAGAAGCATATGAACCATAGAATAAACAGCGTAGGCAGGGAGCTAACCAGGACTAATGTCTCTGTTAGTTATTACTAGTGACCTTAGGTTTACAACGTGGTGGCACACTTTGCATAAGGAGCGCAGCGCCTATGTGTAAAGAGGTTAGTGCATATCACCAGTCTCGGCGAAGTCAAGATGAAGTAGAGGGAGCCCGTCCAGGCTCTCAGTATGATGCGGGGAGCGATGGAGGAGCATGGCGGGGGGCTTCGTGGCATGGGGCGATTGGAGGCACCCAGCGCCAAATAGTGTATAATCATCCCGGGTGCTGACGATTTAGGGGTGCCGCAGCGAGCTGACTTCTTTCCCATGGTTGGTAGGCTTGAGGGCTGGTGAGTATCGATATCAGGATGCAGGTTTAGCAGGTGAGGTGCACGGAGCTCTTTCTACTCACATCTCATCGCCGCCATGTCCAGGACATGCCCCTGCTTTAGTATTTAGGCAACTATGTTTGGAGTTATAGAAGTAAAATTATCAAATTCAAATGTCTGTGGCCCTCTTGCAAGCTCTCCACCATTCTGTACCATTCAAATAACCTCTCATGAGAAAGTTTATATTAAAACTGTGAAGCAATCAAATCTTTAGTGGTGGGTTGTCTTAATCCCTCCATTCTATTTTTTTTGTATGAAAAGCGGTTATGTATTCCAAAGAGGTGGTTGGCCCTTTTGCATTTTTCCTTATTGCATAATGCTGGCTACATGTCATTCTACTGTTGTTTCAACAATTTTAAACTAGATTTTACTAGAGATGTAAGGCATAGCGACATGCAACCAGGAAGTGGCTATCTAATGTGGCTACCATTTACAGGCAAAGCTAATAAATGGAAGCACTGGTAAAAAAAAACAGTATACATGCTCATTTTCAATTCACAAAATTAGTTTTATTACAGTTTAGTTGTCTTTATATGCAAAGCTTTAATTGGCAAATCTTAGTAGCTGTATGTGCAATAAGTAATATTTACTATTAGAAGCAGTTTTGCTTCCCTTTAAAAGACTCCTGATTTCAGTTAAAATCAAGTTTTATCTCAATACATGCAAAATGAGGAGGTATGACTTTTTCCGGAGTCTTCTTATGTTGTCATAGATAATTTTCTATAGCTCATGACTAGCTTGATAAGTTGTTGGGACTTTATCAGAGTCTGCATTTTGAATCAGCTGATAATAAAACTGGACCAGTTGTTTTAAGCTCTCTACTGAAATCCGCTCATTCAGTCCATGAATCCTAAAAGACAAAATAGTTTGTTACATAGCAGTACAACTAGAAGTGTTGCTGAACATCTTCCCATTCATTATTTTTGCTACTTCCTCTAAAACTAGCCATTGATGGATATGTCTTAATCAAGGCCATATTTTAACATCATGCTGTCCTAGGCATACCGGAAAAAAAAGATTCCATATTGTACAAGCTTTGTGTCATGATTATTTTAGCAAAACCTCGTAATTAACTGCTTGTCGTCCGCCCGAAAAAAACGGACGAACTGCAAACTCACAAGGGTGGGTTGCCGTAATTAGACGGCTTTTTTTTTTCTGCTTGCACGCACGGGCAGAAAAAACCCGTCCGTTGTGAATAGTCGTTACCGGCTGTAGGACATACAAATGATCGGCGGCTCTATAGCCTGCCGATCGCTTGTATGTGTTGGCTCCGTGCCCCCCCTCGAGTGCCGCCGCCCCCCCTCCTGCACCCTCACCTTCAATCCCGAGATCCGGCTCGGGAGGGTGTCAGGAGGAAGATGGGAGGGAGATCAGCATCTTCTTCCTTTGCTCATTAAGCCACAAATCATTAGGGGTCTCTAAAGAGGACCTGCCTTTGCTATTATATAGGGGGGTTGTTATTAACAACATTAAGTGTAAAAAAAAATAAAAGTCACATATAAAAAAAGTAAAAAAAACCCAGAATGTTTAAGCCCCCCACCGCTACGTTTACGTAAATATGCATCAGATACGCCGACAATTGCGCTACACGTTACATATCGCCGCGAACGTCTGAGTGAGAGCAATCATTTTAGGGCCATCAATTAATGATCAGCAGTAAAAGCTTTTAAAACGTAGCCTATGGCCAATTTGGGGTATTGTAGTTTTTTGAGGTTGCGCGTGCAATTTTAAGGCTTGACATTCTTGGTGTCTTTTTACCCGATGTGACCCCGTCTTTTATATTTTTACCAAAAAAATCGGTAATAATAAATGTTTTATAATTTAATATGGGGGAAACAGTTTTTTTTTTTTAATTTTCGGTAATTTTCCTTACTATAGTAAAAAATAAAAACCCCAGTGGTGATTAAATACCACCAAAAGAAAGCTCTATCTGTCCCCAAAAAATTGTATAAAATTAATTTCAGTACAGCGTTGCATGACAGAATAAATGTCAAAGTACTGCAGCGCTGAATACTGAAAAATAGCCTGGACAGAAAGGGGGTTTAACACTGCGGACTTCAAGTGGTTAAAGGCAACATGTGGGTTGCCTTATATGCAGATCTACTTTTCATGGTTTCATGTTTTCTGAACTATAACTTACGCCTCCTCTAAAGTTTGCTCATTAAGCCACAAATCTCCACATGTGGACAGAAGAAAGAAGGAAATAAGTTTGACCATAACTGGCTATGATGTTCTTCCTGACTCAGACAACAAGTGAATGCTGCACTTGCACATGAGGGCTTGCACGCTACTACACAACTAGCATTTTACCTGTTTTAGCTGATGTATAAAAAAATTGACCTTTAACCCCTACGTGACGGGAGACGTACACTGTACGTCCCGTCACAAAGTGCCTATATGACTGGCCACATACACTGTACATGACGACAAGTTATTTAAGGCTCTCTAATGCCGGTAACCGCTGAGAATTGTATTGAGGAATTAATTAATGAAATAGTTAAGCTTTTGTAAAAGCTTCTTTCTTTCATTAATGAAAGAATGAAGCCGTTACATGCAATACGGGTTCGCTAAATAGCAAGCCTGTATTTGACAGCTGAAAATAGCAGAGAGGTAGCAGAGTGACTCAGCTCTCTGCTATTCGTTTTGACAGCTTGATTGCCCGATGTTTGATACATTTAGGGCAAAGAGATACAATGTATCTCTTTGCCTGAGATGTATCACTTCTGATCGCCTAGGAACGATCAAAGACCTTTAGTGAGATCTGAATCTGACATGCTGTCAGGATCAGTCTCTAAGGTTATTATTAGCTGTTTCTAAGCTTGGAGCAGCCTAATAGCCAAAAATTAAAAAAGTTCATTTATCAAGCAGTCATAGAGACCGCTTAATATAAAACTGACAAACATTTTTTTTTTCAAAGTGTAAAAAAATAAAGTGTAAAACAAAATTATAAATATATTTTTTATACTAAAATTATTATAAAAAATTTCCAAAAAATAATAATAATAATAATCAAAACTTGTGAAAAAAGTTTTCTAGTTTTCCTGATTTTTAAAAAAATATTTTATTCAAACTAAGTGAGGCGTTAGGTACACATGTTTGATATAATTATATAGCCCTATCTGTCTTCTAAAAAGCAATATATAATATGTGTGGGTACATTTAGTAAGGAAGTATATTACTGCTGTGGAAGAACCACACAGCAAAAATGTAAAAAGCATCAGTCATTTATGAACAGAAACTAAAAACTAGCTCAGTCATGAAGGGGTTAATGGATGCTCAGGAGTGCTTGAGCAGCATTACACTGCTGACTATTACTATTGCTTTGTGAGGGAAAGTGCCAATGCACCCTGCATTGAAATGTGCTGATCATTCCCAGGAGTATTCCCAGGAGTATTGTTAGCACATACAGCAGAGGCGCTGGGTTTGCAAAGCCTGCACTTCACACTATACAGATGCTCTTATATTTCCATGGAAAATACAACCTGTGGCTTTTTAGGGTCTCCCAAAAGCGGTAAAGTGCAGGTTTTGCTGATCATGTACACATGCTCCAGATTACACTGCCCCTAGGCATGACAAGGTCTTTACTTGTGCAGACCCCGGATGTAGGACAGCACAAAGCCAAGAGACTCTCATCCAAGCTCCTTTTTGGTTATCATGTGTCACATGACATAAAGCTGAGGGGAAGCTTAGGAGGACCTCCCCTCATTCTGCACAGGAAAATGGTCTGTTTATGAGGTCTGGTAACCTGTATGCATGTATATAGGGAGTTTTTTTTAGTTTTTTTTGCTGGTGGGGGAGATCTTTGCTGGAGGGAGAAGATTTATACCTGAAATAATCATAGGAAAACAAACATAATTGAACACCAAATTTAAATAAATCTCCACCATAGACTTTTGTTAGAAAAAAACAAAACTTAGCAATGTTGCCCAAAGCAACCACACATCCAGACAAAGCACACACACACTAACTGCTGAATATTTCCAGAGTTGTATTGGAAAGCTGTACAGCATGCAACAAATAATATCCTTGTGAGCAAAACATTATGTAATTTGTAACAAGAAGTATCAAAGCTGGCTCTTTCAACATAGACAACTCACACAGGCAGTGCTACAGGATGTCAAATGTAATCCAGCAGGGTCAGCACCAAAATTTCAACTGGATGCACTTTGTTTATACCAAGTGGGATAAATTAACATCATAATATAGATGAAACAGTGCACCATTACACACTCCTTCCACTGTCATGCAAATTGGTAATTTAACTTAAATTGAATACTCAAGAAGAACTGTCAAATGGTGCACTTTTTTATCTAATACTTTTGATTGTCAACAGTTACTGGTTACTAAGTAGTCCCTGACTATTTTAGTAATGGAAGAGTAAAATATACACTTCCCAATACTTAGAGTCGGCAGGTGTCACTGCAGGTGTCACATGCTGGCTCTATAGATTGAGAGCTGGGTGATTGCAAACCACTTATCGCTCAGCTCATGGTCTTCTCCTGCAGAGAGCGGTGAATGTCAGTAAGCAAATAGCGGGCAGTAGCCCACTAGATGCTGACCAGGGGAGGACTGGGCTGGGGGGCAGGGTGGCAATTGCCCCCCCGGCCTCTCTGAAAAAAACAGCCCGCCGCCAGCGCCGCTGCAGCGGTAATCACTTTTTTTTTAATCTATCCCCTCTGGGCCGCTCTGCTGCAGTGGCTGAGAGGGGAGAGGTTTAGAAAAAAAGTGATTGCCGCTGCAGCGGTGCCGGCAGGGGGCCGTTTTTAAAGGAGAAGAAGCTTTTGATGATGCCCATATAGCGATCGGGCTCCTCAGCGGCCACGGCAGCTCCCTCCACCCACTTTCTGCTGCTATAGCCTGGGAGGGAGACTGCACACCATTGGCTGGCAGGATAGTTATGCTGCGCGGGACCTAAAGGCAGGAGACATCACGAGGTGGCTGAAGGCATCGCCTCAGAACATGCAGGCAACCTCGCTTCTACCTCCCCCTCCCCCATGCACTGCGTACATACTGACATCTGACCTATATTACACCGCTGACCTCTGCACTGCATACATACTGACTTCTACATTACACCGCTGACCTCTGCACTGCGTTATATACTGACCTCTACATTACACCGCTGAACTCTGCACTGCGTTACATACTATCCTCTACATTACACCGCTGACCTCTGCGTTGCGTTTTATAATGACCTCTACATTACACCGCTGACCTTTGTACACTACGCCACACCACTGGACTCTGCTGTACGTCACACCTCTGTACTGTGCGTCCCACTGCTGACCTCTGTACTCTGCGTTATTGCTGACCTCTTTACTGTGCGTCATACTGCTGACCTCTGCACTGTGCATTAGATCGATAACCTCTGTACTGTGCGTTAGACTGCTGACCTATGTAATGTGTGTTACACCACTGGCCTCTACACCATTGACCTCGGTTGAAACCTTAAATCATAATTATCATTTACAACATGATAAATAGTTATATATTTCATTTATTCAAGTAGGCCCTAGATATTCTCAGTGTTAGAATATAGTGCGTGAAAGAGAATCTTTGTTATTGATTTGCCTCCAGATGTGCTTATTCCTCTTAAGTCTGAGAAGCTGAGAAAGGTCACGGGAAAGGTCCTAGGTCACCATTCCAGAGGATGGATAATTAGGCTGCATATGTAATTGATACTTCTATATAAGCTATATTCTGTTTATTTTACTATCTCTTGGCATCCTAACCATCAATATATGTAGAATGATGGACAGGTACAGAATGCTTCAGCTAATGACATGCAGAGATTTGTAACAGATGTTTGTACGTGAATACAATAGCTATACTATTCACATGACGTAGTTC